ACACACACACACACACACACACACACACACACAGTTTGACTCTAATTGGGTGACCTAAAGCCACGGATATCATCTGCTATGGTGTGAGACCACAATCTCACCCAGAGCGACCGGCAGCCTCTGCAGTCACACCGCCTCTGAAAGAAGACCTGGAGGAGCGAAGAAGGAAGGGAAATGAAGGGAAGGGTAAAGAAAAGACAAATAGAAGACAAACTGGCCCAAGAAGGGGGGAAGGAGCAGAAGAGGAAGAGCACAACAACAACAGCAATGGCACAAAAACACAAAGTGGCGCTGAGTTCATTAATTAGAATTTCAAATTGGACAAACTCAAGATGACAGCGTTGCACTTGTCAAATCAGATCATGCCCCGGCAGGATGAGAGAGAAAGAGAGCGAGAGAGAGAGATGGAGAGAGAGAGAGAGAGAGAGGGAGGCACACAGCTCAGAGCCAAATACCACTCTTAGTCACTGAATGGGTGCCATCTCTCTCCCTCTCCCTCAATCTCTCCCCCTCTCTCTCTCCACTTCCCCTGATTATGCCCACCGCCTCCCCTCTGTCCCCGCGTGAATGTCACGGCCGCCCTAACAAGAAGTGACAATTAAAACATCATCGGCATCTCGAGGCTGAGTGGGGAGGGGGAGAGCGGCCTGCTGGGGTCCCCGGTCTCTGTGACGGAGAGATGGAGAGAGAGAATAGAAGAGATGGAGGGGCTGCAGGGAGATATAGTATGAGCTGTTTGAATGGAGAGAGAGAAGATACTTTGGCAACACACTAGAACTCCTAATAAAGCCAACAAAGGTCAATGAATTGAACTGTGAAGATGGATGTATGTGTAGTGGGATGCATATGTCAGCTATAAGCGATGGACCAAGGAAAACAAGTGTGCACATCATGGACACTTTAAATCGTGTCATCACCATGTACCAGAAAAAAAACGGTTCTTGGATAAGACAATAATAGTTTCTGCAACCATATATAATTGTGAAATGTTCCTTGTTGACACTGTTCCAGTTGTTTCTGTACATTAATATACTGTTCCACCTCATGTTAATGGCGGGTGAATAACACTAACGAATTTAATCCAATGTATTGTCACCAGTTCTGCATGAAAAACTATTTCTGCATCAGATCAGAGTCTGATCAGAGAACTGTGTTAAATCAGCCTGTTGTTGTAAAGCTGAAATAATTTTCTATTTATTTATACTGAAAAGTTGTTATTGACCAGCCCTTTAACAATCGCACAACGTGTCCTCTCTTTTGTCCATTCTATTTTCATGATGGACTAGATGTGATTTTAATTACCCCTGTGGTTGAATAATGCTGTAAAGTATGGTGGTCCTGAAGCACGGCAAATGAATAAACACAAGAGAAAGATCACAATATTTAAAGCATATAAACACAACAACAAATCACCTAATGGAAAGAAGAAAACACGAAAACAAAACACAAATAAGAAAAAACACAACATTAACTAAAAGGTAGGTAGGTATGTCTCCTTATTTGATTTTGTCTTTTCTTATTTGCGGATGTGTTGTGTATTTGCACTTCAGAGCCACAGTAGGAAAGAGCTCCTAAAACAAACTGACAGATGATTATTATAGAACTGAGCCTTTTAGTGAAAAAAAAGTAAGGAGCAGGGTATAAGACATTGAGATACATGGTGCGGTAATTTCATCAGTGGCCTAGATCGAGCAGGCTGGGTGGATTTTGGCATTTTGAAGTATGTGCCGTGTGTATCTGTGTGTGTGTGTGTGTGTGTGTGTGTGTGTGTGTGTGTGTGTGTGTGTGTGTGCGTGACTCTGCACCAGCTGTGCCAGTGCAACACAAGGATGGAGCTTCGGCCAAATGAGCTGTTTTCACAAAGAGCCAGAAATTATCCAGCTCGCCACTAGGTACCCCCTTGCACTTGTACACACACACGCACACACACACTATCACATACACACAAATGCACGCAAGTATGCACACACGCAGATACACACACACTATCACAGTTAATGAGGCTTGAATTTCGAAGTGAGCACAACTTACCTCCTGAGTCTTCATTTTTAAACTGCTGCTGTGTATCCTGAAGTAAGTTGTCTGTGTGTGTGTGTGTGTGTGTGTGTGTGTGTGTGTGTGTGTGTGTGTGTGCGTGTGCGTGCGTGTGTGTGTGTGTGTGTGCATGCAAGATATGTGTGCAGAGCCAAATAGCCGAGTGCTCTGAGGTTTGATGGTTCCAGGTTGTCTGTGTGTGGCCTTTCCGCAGCATCATTAGGATTGTGGCAGCGTCTCTGCAGAGCCGGGCTCTGACTCCTGAGAGGATCTCACACTCCTTCATCCTTCATCCACAAGTCAACCGTACTGCCACTCACCACATCACATCTCAGAACTCAGTGGACTGAATCAGACTATTGTTCGATAAGAACAACTGCACAGGAGGCTCATCAGGTTATGTCTTTGAGATAGCAGTTTTAGCCCAGGACTCAAGGTGTCAATCACAACATAATCTCTAAGTATCATAAAGAGCTACTGTGGTCATTTTTTGAAGTAATTTTTTTCACATCTGTGTGATCTTTGTAAAGACGAAGCTGGTATGGCTTCGCATGAAGACTGGAAAGTGGTGGAAACACAGACTTGGATAATTCCAAAGATACAGAAAGAAATCGACATCTGTACAATCTATACGAAAGTAAAGTCTGAAAATGACAGGTTGCTGTTTCATGGGGGTTAAGAGCAGGACTCATTCTTGAGCTACATTCCTGAAAATCTTGTCATCTAACACTGATGAGAAAAGTGGAAAAAAAAAATTCGGAACATGAAACTGTTTCTTTAGAATAGGACAAAAGTTGATGTAAAATAAAACATTTCTTACTGTGATATAAGTTTACATTGGTTTGTAATATGATATAGTAATAAAAAACTAAGAAATCATTAGGTTATTTTGCAGTTTAAGTTAACTTGTTATTCATTTGAAGTATCAAAACTGGGGATGGGATTTTCTCCAGAACTACAGATTTAATATATATGGTCAAATATGTGTTATAATGTAGAGATATCATTTATAATAGACATGGCAAGATATATGGGCTTTTTATTGGGTTATCTTTTCCCCCTTCTACATTCATTATGAAGGAGATATACAGATACATACATATGTGCATATTTGTTCATTCACAGGACCTGAGATGTGGATACGAATATGTACACACCATAGACTGCATATAAAGAGGTACACACACTATATGTTTATACATACAGACAGTAAATATCCAGAAATAACCCAAGATGAGTGCATTAGTAGTAAAGTATTGCTATAATCTTCATTCTGCATTCTATTAGTCAACATATCTTCCCAGCCTTCATTTAAGTAGGCTTTGATTATAGATCAAATGCAAATCACACCATCACCAAAAAAGTAATAAGAAATGACCATGGATGGATAAGATTATGAAAACTGCAGAGTGATATGAAGCAAAGTGACTAAGGTGCAGTACAAAGTATCAACTTAAAATTTAAATCGACCTCTTAACACACTTTATAAAATTGCCTTAAATACATTTTTATCCGTAAAAAAACTATGACAGTCCCTCTGTAGTTGTTTTGTAACTCTGAGACAAGTAAAATGAAATCCTCTGTAACTCTTAATATCTTTGCATGTTTTGTTATCTGTCTTTCTCATGTTGTTTCAGCTATGTTCCTGGATGTTGGTTGGAAAATGAGGCGAAAAGCAGCAGGACAAGTCTCTGTAAGTTATTGTGCAGTGTTGCATGAGAATCGTCCCTGCTTTGGTTGATTATTGTTGTGACAGTTGTGTTGTTTTTGTCGTTAATTTAAGTTTAAAAGGAGATAAAGTTGTGTGACATACTGCGGAGACATTTGGGCTACAACTGGGGCTCCTCAGAATGTTGCAGCGACACTACAAATGTTGCACCAACATTGTTTGCTTATTACTGTCTCTCTTTGGTTGTTACATAACCATATGTGTTTCTGTACACATGCTGGTAGTTTGCCAGCACGTGTGTTTGCCAGGCTCCTTTGTCACTGCTACACCAGGAAAGTCCAGTCACTGTTTGTCCGGCCAAACTGTAAGAGAGCAAAGGTCAAGAAAAAGTTATTTGACGACAAAAAAAAAAGAAATCTCATGTCACTAAGCCCTAAACTTCTTTCGCTTGCCGCCGCTTAATTGCAAGCAAAAAAAAACAGCAATCACAAAACGAAATCAAATATCCGTGAGCAAATGTGCAAACTCAGCCTCCTCTGGAACACAACGCAGCGGAGAAAAGGCGCCATAATAAAAATCAAAACAAAATGCTCCCCAATCCATGACAGCTGCGGAGACAAATCCAATTATTTGTGTCTCATGTTGCAAATTTGTTCTAATGGTCGAAGTGAGAAAGTAAATAAACGCCTGCGAAGGGGAAACAAAAGAATGTGATTTCTAATTAACTTGAAAGAGGAACAGCAGGGCGACTTAGTAAACCCATCTTTCATCTGCTGCCTCAGACCACTCGTTTGTTTGTTGCACAATGTTGTCTTCAAGAGGGGCGGGAGGATGAGCGTGAGCGTGCGTGTGTGCGGGGGGATAACACTGCGCCGCTTTCCCTCCAAATGAAATGTCAACAGATTTAACAGAAGCGCGCAAGGAGCGCGGCGCTTTCCAGCGTTTTGTCAATTTTATTGTTCATTAAGCTCCCCCCCCCCCTCCGCCCCACAAATCTTCTTCCTCCTCCTCTTCCACTTGTTCAAGGCTTCATTTGCAGCATCTTGGCTTTGAAGATCACAAAAGGCTGAGGCAATAATTGGGTTTGTGCAATTACGGCGAGCTTAATGAGAGAATCCAGGAGTTTGTCTTGCCCCTATCTGCAACTCTCCACACTCCACCATTAACGCTGGCTACTGTCTCTCTTCCACCCTTTTTCTCTCAGTGAAACCCTGTCGACGAAAGGAGGATGTTATCGCGTTTAAAGCTGTGGTCAACGCTTTGTTAACACGCATCATGCATGCACACACGGTCTGGATGATGGAGAGAGCAGATAGTCTGCAGCACCTGAAAGAGAAAAACCACATCAACTAATCAAAGTGTTTGGGACGATGAAATGAAGACCAGGAAGAAAGAAGCTTAAACCCAAAGTCTACTATTCAACTAACTTTATGTAGTGGACCTAGTGGCCTGCAGCTTTCACAGTGCCCAATGCAAAACCAGTAAAAGTTTCTGATTCTACTCAGAAAGTCTTTTAGTTCATATCCAGTCAACAATATTTGTACGAACAGATGACAAAAACTGAGAATAGTCACATTGTGCGATAGGGGTGGTACACCTTTGCTCAAGTTTCCTTTCACTTATGAACAACGCAGCAGGAGATTCTCAACAAATCCTCTGGAGCGTTCAGGTGAGCGGTGGTGCAGCCGACAGAGGGACTATAGTTTTGCTGTGGAGATCACATGTTTCTGTTTACAGCAAATCGACCGGCGTCTGATCTTATCACCAAAAACATTCTTGACATATGTGTGTGGCTCAGTTCTCTCATGCAGGGATTTTTGCTTTCTTTTTGTTTTTTGCATTTTTGCGTCTGTGGCATGTTGCATCATCAACACACCCACTCATCCGCAGTGAAGATCTCCAGCTGTTTTCTACTTAGACAACCTTCGGACTTTTTACTAGGGGGCTGGCTGGAGAAACCTGAATGTCATTTCAAAATGTTTGTCTGAACCTGGCCCAACTCGTCGGGTCCTGCTGGGTCCAAACAGTTAATTGGCTGGAGTATCGAGGACTGGCAAGCTTTCTGTCAAACATGCACAACTCATCCTGGTGTGCAGAAATGGATCTCAAGAGAAAACCAAACCTTCACCAAGGCACTTCACCTTTGCAAGAACCATCTTAGCGTGATTGTAAGAGGGCCTCGCAGGAGAGAAAATAAGCATCAAATCCAAGCCCATACCCCTCCCTAATAATTGTCTCATTACGCAGCACAATAACAGAAAGTCAGCGATACACAAAACACTCATTAACACCAATCAAGCCTTCAGCAAAGGACATTATGAATGTGTTTAAACCTGCAGTGCTGCGTAAACTGCAGAGGTGCTGGCTTGTAGGCCACATTAGCAAATCATTACTCATTACCTAATGAGATATCTCACTTATTACGCACTTGCAGGCAAAACAATGCATGTACAATGAATAAGCATTGGGGTTTGTTAAAAAATTACTTCTAATTGTGTTACATAATAAACACTCAGATAACAGTGCTGTGATGAAACTATGCAGACTCAAAGAGAAGATAATATTTGTTTCCTGTAGGTTTTACAGCTCAGTTACAGCTCTGTTTATTTATCTCTGTTCAGTGAGGCCTCTAAGGTCGATGTGGGGAAAAAAAACACTTCAGGTATTTTCATGTTGGCTTGCGACTGCTGCCACTTGCACTTACACTGAGGATGCTGTTCTCCTACAGTCACATCACTGAGGGTTTTGTTCAAAGTCGTCTGTTAAGATATGGAAACAGAGTCCCAAGGGTGACAAGGGCAGTTAAGACCACAGATGTTCGACCAGCTGTTACTGAGCTGGGGAAAACATCTGTGGGTTGGAGTGTGCTGGAATATGTGTGTGTGTGTGTGTGTGTGTGTGTGTGTGTGTGTTTGTTAGTGTGTGCAATCCACCAACCTTTATATCTTCAAGTTCCTTTGTTATCCTTGAAGTCAACAGTGAGCTTTCAGTCTGATAGGGGATGTGCAGGTTCTAAAATACACAATAGCACATGGGCAATTCAGGTACACTTTATTGTTTTTCCAAAATAAAATGAAGGGGTTTACAGATATCTATTGTAAAATGAGCACTTTAAGGAATCAGGCTCATTCAGGTGTCATTCTGGTAACTTCCAGTCTGATGGTTTCTTCAACTACAAGTACATTATATAAATTAGTATGTGCTTTAAGATGAAATCATTAGTTTTGGTTTGAATGTGTGAGTGGAGAGATGCTGCACACACACAGAATGTGTTTGTCTTACCTCCCCCTGGTAAACAATGTGTCCTACAGGGCAGATCATGCAGGCAGTGCCGGAGCCAAAAAATTCTTTGACCCGCTGCTGCTTCAGGGCAGAGCACAGCTGGGCCATGGTCAGGTAGCACTCCGTCACCTTAAACTCGTCCTGGGAGAAAGGGTTAGGGTTAGACAGGAGATGTCATCAGCATCAATCCATCACCGCATTATTCCACCAAAAGTGAGATTTGATTCTGACCATCAGAATGAATGAATGTGTGTGTGTGTGTGTGTGTGTGTGTGTGTGTGTGTGTTGTGCGTTCCTTTCTCACCCATTTCCTGGTTATGTCCAGGATGCTCTGTCGGGTTACGCCTGGGAGGATGAGGCCATCAAGAGGCGGAGTTGAAAGCTCTTCCTCTGAAAAAAAAAGATTCATTATTTACTTTACATAACAATAATAAGAATAGTAATAATAATAATGAGATGCATCATGTCCTGCAGTTGTAATGACCCTGTTCTACCAGTGGAGGTCACTTTTGTAAAACATGTACTTTGTCCTACACTGATACTTCTCTAGCAGTTTTTGATATTTGATATTTGTATAATGCCCATGAAAAGAAAATGTACATCCACATCTTCCACTTCCAATGACTGACTAACTGAGGATCAGGTATTGCTGATGACTGACCCCCGTCCTCATTGATCCAGTGCAGAAAGATGTTCATGGTTCCTGCCTCGGTGATCTTGTGGTCCTCTCCATACAGCCACAGCACCTGCTGACACCCATAATCCACTGCTTCGTACTGGGCTAACAGGCTACACCCATAGTTCCTGCAGAGATCCACAGCAACAGTTGCAGTAGTTAGTGTCTTTGGCACTGCACACAACTGTAACACTACAGTTAGATTAGATTTGTTTAAGAATGTGTGGTGCTTTTACCAGGGCAGGACTGTCAAAAGCTTAATTGCTATTGCACAAATGATTTCCTGCATAAAACTTAACACCATGACTCAGTTCATATCAGGACAAAGCTCAAATAAATGTGATATTTTTAATATCAAGCATTCATTGACTACATGCCTACCCACCCTCCCATCTTGCAGTCTCCGGTTCCTCCTATCCAGGCCCGTATGTACTTTGGGTCAGCCCACAAGGAGATGGCCCCCCCCTCATTGTTGAAGTAGGGGCGACCATGAGACAAGATCACATACAGCAAAGCACGGGTCGGCTTCTTTACACCCAGAGAGGGCTACCATGGACGCATAAAAATGCATATTAAATTATATCCACTGCAATTAAAATGAAACAAACCCTCTGCCTCTGCCCATTATTGTACCACATTTGGTTCATCCTCACCTCAGTGCTGATAAATGTTGGTCTAATGTACAGACTGGCCAGGCTGGAGGGAGGAACCCAGTCCTGCTCAATCTCTACCAGTCGCCTGATGCACTCCAGCAACTCTGACTGGTCAAAAGCCTGAGAGAAGAGAACAAAGATTTCATAAATTTGTTCTCCACAGACACCTATTCTTCCATCTCTCCTTTCACTCATCCGTTCCCCTCATCTTACGGGCAGACAGGCTCTTTTGGCGGAGTTGGACATGCGTTGCATGTTGAGCATCGGCCTGAAGATGCGCAGTCGGTTGTCATCGCCACGGTACACCTTCAATCCCTCAAACAGCTGGAGAGGAGAGGAGCTCATCATATTAACAGTCAAAGAAGAGTCAAATGTTAATTCAACACATGGTTAAAGCTCCTGTAGTCCTGTAATGTGTCAATTACTATTAATATGGTTGCGCTCAAGGCCAGAGCCAGGATTATAGACATGACTGAGGACAGGAGAGAAGTTCACTCCTTCAATTTTACATGTTCTTTCGACAGCTCCTGAGAAACGAATTCTAAAAGAAAAGTTAAAATACCATTTCAAAAGCCTCTTGAAACAGTAACACAGGAAATAGCCTGCAGAATACCCATTGTGTTAGGTTTTATACAACTCCTCCAAATACTCACACTGTAATAATCAACTATCGATTTTACTTTGCCAATCTCAACTTTGATGTAAATAGATTTAAACTAAGGCATAAGTATAAAGATGGTGCACCTGGATGCCGTAGTGCAGTGAGGAACATGCTGGGTGGAGCGACAGGTTCTCAAAGGGCTTGATGAGCGGAGCCTGCCAACCCTCAGCCGCGCTCCACTCTATGGTCAGCATGTGTTCAGTGAAGCAGGTTCCAAAGGTAGACACATCTGGTTTGATCTCTCGAGTAGAGCTGGATAACAGCTGGATAACCAGGTCAGCTGCCTGGTGAAAAAAAACACAGAACAACAATCTGTAATCAAAGATTTATTTCCATGTCTTTGTATTCTTACCGTACCAGCTATACATGCAAGCAAGTGTGAGTGTGTGTATTCTAATCTTTGTAAGGACATTTTGGCTGTTTTTCAGTGGGATGTTTGGACAGTAGTCTAGACAAAAGTGACACAAATTAGAAGACGAGAATGTCCACACAGCCAATTAATGCTGCTGTAAAAGTAAATACTATACTAATATTATATATATATAGGTTGATACTTGCTTTTAGGGTTAGGACAAGAGCTGGGCATTTAGTTGTGAAAGTAAAGGTTAGGGTAAGGGGCCAGGCAGGGCTTTATGTGTCCTCATTAAGATAAAAGTACGTAAATGTCAGTGTGCTTGTGAGTAGAAAAAAACTTGAAACCACACAACAGATTTTTTTCACCAAATTATTAACTTTTGGAGCTGATTAATCAAAGGTCAATGTCGATAAATGTGGTCCGAACTAATTTTCCAATATATCTCTATGGGCAATAAATATATTGATTTAACTATAACCCATCATATGAGAAGTGTATTATTTATTTAAGAATAACATCATCATGACATCACCTTGAGGTCAGAAAATGACAGTGAAAGTGATGGATTAGATACAATTTACTTGTTCTTATTTCGATGAACCAATCATTTGTCATCATATGGTAAAAATGATGACATCATTATGAAATCACATTATCAAAAAAAAGTTGGGGTGCATACATGCATCACCCCGTTGATGCTTTTCACTATTTCTCTTTCTTCCGGTTCAAATATCTGCACGCTATTGGGAAAAGCTAGCGAGAGTAGAGAGAGTCTGAACTGCAACACATCTGCTCATGTGATCCTCCTCCTACAGAGACGCCTCTCTCTGGCCCGCCATCCAGTGAGTGATCCAGTTGGCTGGGATTAGACTGGCCCCTTATCCCCTATACCTTCTGGTGCAGAGGGTTGCTTGCACCATAATCCCAGATTACAGGACTTGGAAGTGGCGAGCAACCACAGCACAGCCGTGTGTGAAAGTGCTCAGAGAACTGCATAGTTCTTCCATTATGTTTTATGTTGCTTTTTTTTGTCTCTGATACATGAGGACTCATCGTTGCATTTTCTTTTTTAGAAATGAACTTCCTATGCTTCCTAGACGAGAACACCATCTACAAACACCCAGCTGTCTTTTTGATATCATAACTGGCACATTAACACAGCGGGTCGTAGCTGAATATTGGCCCTCTGTGCTCAGAATGAACAATAATCCGTCTTCACTGTTTTACCTGCTTCCCTCAGTTCACACACGGTCCAGCCAGTGTCTGGTCAGGATTAAGTGGCTATAAATATGAAGTTGGCTGAAAACCCAGCATCCGTCTGGTGTGTAGTGACGGAAAGTAAGAGGGAACACAAATAATAATAATAGATAATCTTTTGAATGGTTAGATGTTGCAATGGCCAAAATAAAAGACCTCAGGGTTCAGGACAAGCCACAAGATTAAATTTACAGCAAACAATCAAAACAGCAGGCGTCTCCAAACCAAAACCAACACACCTCCTGATGAGTGTGTGTGATTGTCTGCACATGTCTGCTCTAATCTCTACCTGAGCCTGCTGTCTACTGCTCAAACGTGCAGGGTCAGAAAACATGCAAAGCTCCAGCTACTTATCCTGAGCTGGGAAAGTGGATCTGCTGAGCAGGTTGCAAGAGGTGGACAAGTACCTGAGTGGACGTCGTGTCCTTCGCCCCCCCCAAAAACATGGGATGTTACTCTGAGGGGTGTTGAGATTTTGAGCAATGGCCTCAGAAAAGGCTCGCTCAGGTTGACCTGGACTTTTTTTTTGTCTTTCTGTGTTCGTTGTCAGGATAAGAACACAGCTGAATAACTCAAGGCCTCTCTACGCTGCTCTCGGCCGCACGGTGACAAGAAGCATCTCTGGAACATCTTCTCTGCAGATCAGCAGGGTGGGGTTTTAAGTGTCAGGAAGTCAAGGAATCATCAAAATGCTGCAGCTGGAGCAGCAGATGAGGGTAGGTGCTCTTATGTCAAAATGTAGCCAGTGCCATTTGCAACTGAAGAATGCCATGCATGCAATATATACAAACCTTAAGGAAACTTGTTTCTTTACCTTAAAGCTTGGAATGCTGTTGTCCGCCATGGGTGTGGTTGACGCGCAGCTGCTTCACTGAAAACAAGTTTCAATTACACAGTGATGATGATAATACTGCATTTTTACCCACTGGACTGATGCAATGTATGACCTGATGATCAGAGTGAGCAATGAAACCTCTCACACATAATGAACTGTCACAAAATAATACAGACCTATTCCAGTTGTAAAAAACTATTTAAAAAGACATAGGTATAGAAAAACACATTCCAATTAGAAAAATAGTATCGACAAAAACAAACATATTACTGTTAAGATAAAAACTACAGTCAAACGTATTGATGTTAGAATAAAAAAAGACACATTTATTCCTCGTCAAACTTATATCTGTTGGGAAAAAGAACTACAGGCAAACTGATTCATGTTGGAAAAACTAAATAGACAAATCTATAATAATGGATTGTGTCTATATGTGTATTCTGATTAAATGTATTGCTCTCAAGAAATCTCATTATATCATTCACATTTAAGTATGTGTACAAAAACATCAGCACAATATCAGCGGACTGCTTTTAGCGTAGGTAATTAATATTGTGTACTTACACTCACTGCCAGATTACAGCACAGCCTTAGTGCGTCACCAATATTTATCCCCAACGTGCACGTCGGCAGCAGAGTCCAGTGTGGAGTCAGAGACAGTAGTTTCCTACAGACCAGGCAGAGCAGAGATGTCTCACCCTGAGAGGAGGCTGTGGTGAAAATGAAAGCGGCTGTGCACCTTCAAATTGTCCCTGCTAAACCGCTTACAGGTTGAACTAGTCCCGTTGTGTTACCGTGACACCAAGCATCCTGATTAGTAGTAGGCCTACATAAGAGGCACAGCTATTTCTGTCTTGAATGGAATTTGCTGGACTTTAATATTTTAATTCTTTATTTATTCTCCTATATTCTTTTATGGATTAGAACTTGTATATAACTCTCTCTGGATGGGAGTGGGCTTGTTCTTGTTTGTTTCATTCTATTGGAGTTTGGAATATTTACAACACAACACAATGTGAAGACTATACTATATTAATCTTTATTTATTTCTCTATACATTATTATTTATTTTATGGATTATCCCTTGTATATAACTCTCTCTGGATGGGAGTGGGCTTGTTCTTGTTTGTTTCATTCTATTGGAGTTTGGAATATTTACAACACAACACAATGTGAAGACTATACTATATTAATCTTTATTTATTTCTCTATACATTATTATTTATTTTATGGATTATCCCTTGTATATAACTCTCTCTGGTGGGGAGTGGGGTTGTTCCTGTTTGTTTTAATTTGAATTGTACTTTGAATATTTTCAGCATCAAACATTTGGTCTTAACTATTTTGATCTTTATGAATTTTCCATTCATTCATTTATTTTAGTTGTATATAAACTCTCCCTGGTGGGGCGTGGGCTTGTTCTTCTTCGTTTTCATCTTTTTGGAGTTTGAATATTTACAGCAAGAATAACTGTGCGTTGCAGTGTTGGGTGCAGTACCCACTTCCAGCCGCAGGGAGGCAGTGCAGGCTGGTTTTGTAGCCTCGTGAACACCCTCTGAGGTTCTGACTCGTTTCTTCTGTCTCGTGAGCTTGAGATCCGAAATTTCCCTGCGTGTGCGCGTGGACCCAAACATTTGGTCGCGAACATTTGTTCGGTCGAAACAAATCATCGCATACATGCTGTTCGCAGACAGAGGCGATTAGAGACAGTGACACAGCAGGTGAGTTTTTAAAGACTTGGGGTCATTATGATTTTGTTTGTATGGACTCACATGATCGTGAAAACGTGTTCATGCAATGTCTGTCCAATGTTCTGAAAATGTAAAAAAATGTCTTTTTTAAAGAAATTGCAGATTATTCTGTAGATTTATTGTGATTATATAAAAAGAGTGTGTTTTCTTTTAAACTGAATTAATCAGCTCTTTCGCACACCTGAGCCTAAGCAGGTGATGCTTTCAATTCAACTATGCTTTTTAAAAAATCTTTATACACCCAGATATTCGTTTATATCAGATACAACATTTATATATTTGTCAATCTTGATAATTATCTCGATAAACGTTGCATTATTATTATTTATTTTAAGTTCAAATGCATATTTTTCTTCCCCATTGAAGGTTGTGGTTTTAAACTCTTCTGTATGACATATAATAAAACTGAGTTAGATGAATTATGTGTAAAACCTCCTCACTGTGCTCACACAATTCATAAGCAGTAGCCTATATGGATATACAGTGAACTTTGGTAGTATTTCTAATGATGGAAGTCATATTGCAATAATTGATGATGTTTTTTTATTGCCCAGCTCTTCTGAGTGTGAGAATCAGAAACCCTGTGCACTGGTTTCTATCTGCAGTCACTTATATAGGCTCAATTTCTATGGATTTCTATGCACTCACTTAATCTTAGTCTCTTATTCAGCAGTTTCTGTGGTCAGAGAGTTTAAAATGCCTCTTCCACCCTGTTTTTCTTAGTCCTCCATCCTTTCTTCCCTTCTGGTTGCGTTACAGACCTTCTCAAAAGAACTTCTATATTAAACTCTCACTCAGGGGTGGAGACCCTTGTTTCCTTCTCAAGGGACCATTTCCAATTTGTATAACATCCTTTAATACCAGATGACTGATAAACATAAATCATACTTGCCTCTCTTATACGATGACTGTGACTGCTTCTCTTTGGTAAAGTTTTTGGTAAAATGTCAGATGGTAGTGATGGTGATGATGCTACTGGCTTTTGGTTTTCCATGTTTGGGTCAGTCTGTCTTGAGCAGAGCAGAGTCTTTGCAGGAGTCAGTGTTGAAAACAACAGCTCAGCGGTAGACTGTCGCAAACAGATGTAAACTCCAGTGCATCTCATCTCCAGTGCGTGACTGCATGTTGTAGGATGTTAAGCAGGTTCCACAGTTTATTACTTAACAAATGTACTCATTAATTTATTGTTTTATTTTCATGGCCCTCTAATGAGTGCCTAAAGCAGTTTTACAAAATATTCAGACGAACAATACCAGGATGTCCTGCAGAGGAGAAAGGTGCGCAGTGTTGCTTATCTCCCTAATTTAGGGAGATATGCTTTAACCAAGTTGAAACCTTTTGGGGGAGTCCATGACTTTAACCGGGTATATCTCCTTTAATATAGGTCACAGAGAAATGGTTTTCATTTTCCAGCTCCACATTTTTGAGAAGTATACTATCCCCACATAAAAATAACAGCATCATGAGTGATTATAATCATTAAAGTAAAATTGAAAAAAACCTATATTTTAAAATTGGTAACTCTTTTCACCAAAAATTTCTCTGCTCTTTTGTCTCCATTTTAAACTCTAACTCTGTTTCTCTTCAGACTTCAGTCTCTCCTTTTGCCAGGAAGCCAGCCCCGCAGCCCTACCTTCAGCAGCATGGACTATTACACACCCCAGCCAAGTCGTCGACACAACCCAGTGGATAGCATCTGCCGCAAGCTGCAGACAATTCAGTGGCGTGGTGACCGAGAGCCCAATTCACCTTTCCAGATTCCCAAGCTTTCCTCGAGCAGCTACGACAGCCCCCAGTGTGGCCTCAGGCACAACCTGGAAGCCATCCTGAAGAAGAGCGCCCTCTACAGAGACGAGGGGGAGAGGGGGAAGGAGAAGGAGAAGAAGGAGAAGGTAAAGGAGAAGGGGAAGGGGAGTGGGATGCCGACCTCTGCAGCTTCTCAGAAGAGCAGCATGGGTCCCACTGTCCCTCTGTCAACACCTTCCACCACTGCACGCAACCCACCTACGCCGGCTAACATCACGTACACTATCACCAGCACTCTGGGGGAGAGGCGAGGCGCAGATGGGAGCGATTTAAGACAAGTTAAGACGTGGCAGAGGTATTGTTCAACGCCCACAGGCCAATCCAAGGACTCCCCTTACTTCACATTCACACGAGGACCTCAGTCTGTGCAGTCTGAGAGCGAGAGGCCGAGCAGCAGCCCGCCACTGTCTCGCACCTTCACGCCAAGTCTCGGCACTCTCTCCTACAACCTCAACTTCTGCTCTGCGGACACGACGAACTCTGCAGAGTGCGAGCTGCCCTACCCTGCTCTGGTTGTAAAACGACTGTCCATGGGAGATGGAGGTAGGGAGGAGCGTCTCACAAAATTGATTAACTGACTAACAAAAGGTCCATTCACTATCTTTCCCTTGTCTTTTAGTCACATCTCATGTAAATAGTTTTCTTTTTGCTGAGCAGATTGGTAAGGAGTGAGATGCAGCTGAAAGCTCTGGGGAATAAACTTGGATTTAGATTTTATATCATGACACAAAATTGATTATTTGGTGTAAACCACATTTTAGTTTGCTGTGTAGCAAGAAATACTTGACATGCAGATTCCTTTACTTAAAGAACCATGTAGTTTAAAGACTGGAGGTGTCCTTGGGGATGTTTTATTTTTCGAGGTAGGACTTTTTAATGACCACAAGTTTGATTTTCTCTTGTATGTAATATATGGAGAGTGCACCATTTTACACTAAGACTGGATTACCAACCAGACAGAGCAAACATTTTCTCAAGGGCCTCGGAAGTGGTGAAACCTTCAGACCACTCACCTATCTCCATTTATTTATTGATTCATTCTTGATTCATTCTTCATTCTACTATGCTTATATATTCCACATACCTACATTGAAACTTGATTAGAAAGCAAAATCAGGATGAGGTTGCACTCAGAAAGAGAGTGGGATCAACAGGGGTTAATATGGGCTCAGCAGCCCAGACTTTTCCTTTCCTCTGATACATTTCATTATAAATTGAATACTTTTGAAGACAGACAGTTTGATATTGATAAAAACTGCCTTTGTCTGCTGCCTTACGTGTCTTGGCTTTCTACCATTTCAGCTTTTGCTGAGCCTGAAGTTGTATCATGTGCTCCCTTTGTATCACAACTCTCTCTGTGTGTGTGTGTGTGTG